TATATATAATATTATATATATATTATAATATATATTTAACAACTTTCGTCACAATTGCCTCAGAACCAAAATGTCCACTCCGACCCTATCACAAAAGATCGAAGACCTAACAAAACCCCAGCAAATTCCTGCAATGTGAATCTTTTGCTGGCACTGTGATTGCATTGGGATTCACAGCAGTACCTCGGAATATGAAGCCCCCTTGTTCAAGAGAACTGCTGACATGCTGGCTTCCACACAGCACGGACAGTCGCAATCAAGACTTGGCTCTTGAATGACCGGTGCAGTCCAAGGTTAAGGACTCATTCCCAACGTTGCCTACTGTCACCCAATGCAGCATCTTTTGTTAGGCATCTTCGTCAGAATCAATCGCCCTCAAAAAGGCCGCGTTTTCAATGACATCTTCGTCCACGTACTTCAACACCGCCAGACTTCTCCACTCCCCAGCAGAAAGGACCTGAGGCAGAGTGTGGCCCTGTGCAATCATGCTAGTTGCCTTTCCCGCTCGGAATGCTTTCCATGTGTATCTGGAAGGTCCAGCGACGTCCAGGTCTGCCAAAACCTTGTGGAGAACCTTGAGTCCCTCAGACGGTGAAGTGGCAGTGAGCCTTTCACCCGTGTAGAACCTTGATGATCGTTCTCTCAACCGATGGCCGACACAGAGGGGGTTGAGGACAGAAGATTTACAACAACAAGGCCTCATCAAGAGGGATCCACGCGGCCTGTTCTTCCGAGTTCGGAGCCTTAGCTGAGTGCAGAAATTCTCATCCACTACTAAGGCAGAATGACGGCCTTCAGGAAGACACAACAAGTCTTCTTGTGAAGCAAACTGGATCGGAAATCCTTCACTCGGCACGCGCAGCAAAAATTGCCATGCGACCACGAATAAGTCCCCCAGCTGCTCCAGACCAACTGTGCGACTGCATTGCTGCACAAGCAATGCTACCAGCTGTTCTGTCAAAAGCGGACGGTCACTTAGCTGGCCTGAGATGCTAGCCACATGGCTTTTCTCCAGCCCTCGAATAACCATCTGAACTTCCTGGTCGCACCAGCTGGTATCTAGACGATGAAACGCGCAGGCCCAGCGTAGATATAAAACATAATTCCTGGCAGTCCCTGGATGACGAAAAGTTCCCACAAACTGCACAACGTGTCTCGCACACTTCGGCGGGAGAGTTTCTTCATCACGATATTGCAGCACTTGGTTGGCAAAAGAATGCCAACACGTGAGGCCAGATGCTACAGAGGGCAAACTTTTTCTTTGCGTCTGCGTTTTCAGCTCGGCTGCCCGTGCTTCCAGCACCAACAGCCGAGACTCTTCATCCATATGGCGCAAAGCAGCAATCTGGTCCCGAGGCCCTCCGCTTTGCCACGCAGGACTCTGCGCCGCCACTTTGCGGGACTGATCTGCGACGTCAGCCGCCGACAATGCTGCAACTTGGGCAGACACCAACTCATGGTGACGCTTCTGCCTTTTACTCTCAGCGGATTCATTGATCACAGTGACAGCGAGACTTAATAAACTTTGCACTCTCGGGTTATCAGACCAACGGGCAATGTCTCGCCTTTGTAAGCCATCCAGCTGATGAAGGTACTCAAAACCTTTAGACATGAGCACCAACGCAGTTTCGTGATGCCACATCTGCGAATCATCAGCCTTGTCTAGCTGACGCAACGACTCACGGAGGTCCAGAACTTTCTGCAAGAAGGCAGCAGGTTTGTAGCTACCAAAAGGTTTCGCCCCATGTCCTTTTGCTGTCTTCGTGTCCTGTTGGCAAATGTTTCGCCATTTCTTCAGCAACACAAGCCGCCTGGCTTCCCACTCGCGGGGCAACATCTGCCAAACTTCCTCAGATTGCAGAACAACGCCCGCACCAGAACGGTGGAGAATCAGAGCACTAACTTGCAATGCTTCTGCGGTCCGAAGTTGACGGGCCAGCTGATCGCCAAAACGACGCGTGAACGCCCTCACTGTCTCATGAACCCAATTCTGGGCCAGCCAGACTTGGTTGCAGAGTGCCTGCTCTTGCCCGTTCATAGCATGCAGCAAAGGTCCTGCACGCCATGGCTGGGCAACGACACCGCAGTGTCACCCAGCAAACGCATGGCACGGTGCACTAGACAGTCTGCAAACAGTTGAGCCTACATTTCACCAAATGTACAGCTGCAGAGGGAGAAAAGAAGAAGAATAAGATTAAAAGAAACAAAATTGGCAACACTCATACCCCGCTCTTTCCACACTATCCCGCGGATGGAATCTCCCAGAAGCTTTCCAGCCAAAGCGGCAGCTTGGGTTCGACCCACGTGGCCTTCAAATCTGCCAGGAACCGGAAAGAATCTCTCGTAGGACCGTCTGCGACATTCGCCGCGCTTTCCACCCGGCCCATGTGGAGATCAACTCCAGCTACAGCTATTTCAAGCCACAGCCGCCCTATACATAAGGAAGTTTCTGCAGTTCCTCCGCTCGCTTTTGTGATCGCGTGAAGAACGGAGTCATTATCTACAAAAGCAATCCACAAGCTCCCTTGCACAAAACCTTTAAACGTCGTCCAGGCCAAAAGAACGCCGAGAAATTCTTGAAAACCTATTTGGTGATCCTCCCTCTGTATAAGCATTTGCCACACGTTCTCCGGCGTGCGCACGCGTGTCCAAAAGAACGTTCCTTCGTAGTACAACACTGCAGCAACCCACCGTGACTCACCTGACGCGTCGGTCCACGAAACAGCTCGTGACCGCGTCAACGGGTTGAGTAGACGCACGGAAGTGGGACAGTGTTCAAGGTACTGCAAGAACCAACTGCATGCCTGCCTCAACAGGGGAGAAACTGCGTTGTTAAACAACGGTTGGTTTGCCTGAGCATGGAAAGGCTTTATGAATGCTCGGCCAACTCTGTTGCCCGGCACTGTCACGGCAAAGGACAGGCGACCAGCCAACTTGGACGCGTCACCTGGGGCAAGCACCCCTCCAGCGATGACACCAAGCAGCTGGCACCTATACTTCGCTGCTTTCGCCGGGGCAACGCAAGTGCGCAACTGACGCCTTGGCCATATCCTGGATACGTTGAGTATCAGGATTCCTCGGTGCGAGGANNTTCGAGGCGCGCCTGTCCTCCCTGGATGGGGCTGGCTGCTTCGAGCCAATCAACTTCGCATTCGGCACCCAGGATAACCAGCCGAATGTCGTCTTCTGCTGATTTATCATCGTCAACAGGAAAACCAAGCAACTTGCATATCACGGCAAGCACACGTCCAGCATTCCATCGAACACCACGGCGTGATGCTCCGAAAAAATCATCAACATATCTGGCGGCTGGACACAGAAACAACACACGCACGACATGGCACAACATGAAACCAACACGATGCCAAGCGTAAACCGCTGACACGGTACCAAAAGGCATGCCTGTGTGCTGAGCAACGAGCAAGCAACCTAAGTGCATCCACACGGTCCAGGCAAATTGCATATGCTCGGACTTGATAGGGACGCGGCGGAAAGCCTGTGAAATGTCAACCTTCCACAAGCTCACCTGGCAGTTACTTTCGAAGAAGCACATGACCATGTCCGCTAAATCATCCAACGTGTGATGTTTGATTCTGTCGCAAGGAACAGTGGCAGCATTGACCATACTCTCAGTGCTGTGGTCTACCACCCTGGTCCTCCAACCTTTCGAGCGCTCCTCCCTGACCGGGATCCTTCTCGTCAAGGACAGATGCGAAGCATCATGCGGAGTAAAAGCTCGTGGTGTCGACATAAATCCTTGCGCAGAATCTTGCAGTGCTTGGCTCAAAATGTCACTGGAAAAAGGCAACTCACGCACAGAAGCTATCACCCTCTCGTTGATATCACCCCGACTGTTCACAAGCTCGTCAACAGTAACTGCGGCTTCAAACTGGCATGCGACGCTTTCGCCTTCACATGGGGCCAAATGGCCAACGAGGGGAAAACCAAACTGTAAATCATGCAAGAATCGTTCACAAGGTATGCCACACTGTTGCAACACGACCTTCCACAACGGGCCATGTATCTTTGCAGCATGCCCTTGCAACTCTGTTGGGACCTGCCGCACCCATTCAAGGTGTTCTTGCTGCAAGCTTGCGTGCAGCCTCAAGAACTGATTGAGACGAAAACAACGAAATTCATCAATTTCACCAACTTCATGCCCGCACTCAAACTCAATTGCATCTTTTAGCGTCTCTTCAAGCTGCTTCCGACTTTCAGACGGGTGGGATGCAGACAACGAGAATGCAACATGCTCAAGTGGTGACAAACCCTTCATTGCCCCCAAGCCATGCGGGACGAACATCCAGTCGCCACAACAGTTCACAACAACTTCCGCCTCAGCAATGCGCAAACAGTCCGGAAGCTGGAATGACAACGCATCGACGCCAGACGCCCACCCATCCCAATCTCCACGCTCTCGCATATTCACTACGGTCTCCCTCACAAGACCTGCAAATTTGATGCAAAGAAGAGGCGGATAAGATTGAGCCAAGCGGGTCCGAAACTGGAGTTTTCCATCGTACTTGGCCAGACCTCGCAACTTGACTGTGCGACCGTGCCAAGACGACTCACTCTTTGCCAACTCGTGCAGACACTCAGAGTTATGCACGAACACTGTAGGCTTGCGGAAAGGCACCTGGAAGTCTGAAAACAAGACCCGCACCGTACTTACTCCCTGACTCCTTCTCAGCTGAATCATTGGAAGGAGGATCCACAACCATGACAGCTCAGGGTTCTCGATTGAAAAGAACTTGCCGCTTTTGACCTGGCACTGGCACACCTTCAGGGAAAACAACGCCAGCTCGTTGCCTATGGCAACAAGCTTTAGCTGGCGCCTGGACTCACAGTACTTCGTAGCTGAGGCCGCCTAGCCCATGTAAAAGTTTGACAAGGAGTTCCCAGATGCACCCAAGACAGCGCACCCGCTTTTGACTGTTGCAAAATCAAGTCACCATGTTCCAAAACATCAAACTCTGAACCGAAACGCAGGTCCCAAGGAAGGATCGTCTGTAGATCTGTCAAAGACATGGCCAACGTCAATACGCAGTCACCTGAGAAAATCTCAAGAAACGTATCTTGGCCGGCAGCTTCTGCTATTGTGCCCACCCCCGGTAGATCTGCCAAAGATGGCGGAATTGGCTCCAAGGTGGACCCAGCAAGCTCCACAGCGTCACCACGTCAGGAAGATCTTTTCTGCTTTTTGTTCCACTGCTGCTCTCGCCGCTCCTTCTGTTTCAGGAACCAGTTCTTGGCTTTCCTTTGCTTGTTTGTGAGCTGCTTCTCACCTGTCTCATCGCTCTCGTTCGGCTTTGCTGCTGCAGCAGCGGCTTTGGCAAGGATGTCTTTTTGGGCAGATGCCAAGCTTTTCGTAACTGCATCAGCCTTCCTTTGCGCTGCCGCTGCAGCAGCAAGTTGCTGAGACAACTGCTGCTCTCCTGCCCTGGATCCTGAGGCAGTTGCCACCGCATCGTACTCCAGCTCTGCCAACCGCAGAACTGTCCCGAGCCTCTGCATGACCACTTCCTTCAGATCCTTGTCCACCTTCTGCGTCTCTGCGGTGAGGTCAAAAGAAGGATCCTTCTTCTCTGCTCTGCGAGCCCATTGTCTCCGAGCCATCTCGTCGTATAAGAAGCCCGCGTATGGCGGTCGCGATCTGAGCCTTTCCTGCTCACAAATCGACAACACCACGTCCTGATGAGCAAGAACTTGTGCCAAAGTAATGTGCTGTGCAGAAATGGCTGCCACCGCCCATCTCCAGAATGCTGCTGTCCATTGCGGAACTGACCTAAAGAACCTGGTCGTAGACGTAGCGCTCTTTAGCACCCTCGTCAGATCACCTAAGTTCCCAATTGGAGAATTGCTTGCCAGGCTCAACTCTTCTTCCTCGCGCAAAGAGAACTTGCCGCCCACACCGTCACTTGGCACCCACAGCGGCAGGGTATCCTTGGCCGTCAGGTCAACGAAATGGAAGGGAGTTCTTCCATTCTTCCGTGCTTCATCGGTGTGCGCTTGCAGCACATCGAACAAAGCTTGGTCCGGCTGCAAGTGGAACTGCAAGCCTGGCAAGTGGTCTTTCCTCAACAAGTCCTGGGCATCAGCTGTCTTAAGCGGCGACATGGCAGCCGCCAGTGCTCTGGCGCTTGCCGATACACCGGCGGCACTTGCCAAGCTCATGGACTGAGTCACTTGCACTCTTCTTGCTTTTGCCGCTGCCTCCACGTTTCTCAACGTTCTTCTAGCAAGGGCCAGGGCCGGAGGAGAATCCTGAAGTAAACTATCGAAGGCATCTTCAGAGAGCCCCTCAGCATCCCAAGGAGTAGCAGCTCTCAAATCGTCTTGAAATGCTTTCACCACCCTATTGCGAATCTCAGCAGATGGAGGTGACTGCTCAACACCGGATATAAACTCCTCCCAGGTTGCCATCACTCTAGGATGCAGGAAATAATCCCTTGGAAGAAAAGTCTGAGGCTCCCACGGCTGTGACATGGATGACTACAGTTGTGCGGCATAACATGCTCATGCTTCGCATGTACTGCTCATATATATATATTATATATATTATATATATTATATATATTATATATATTATATATATAATATATACTATATATATTATATATATTATATATATTATATAT